CTGCATGCCAAGCAGAGGCTCTTCCACTGGGCCGTGGCACCCGCATGGCCTCCTCACTCACGGCTAATCGGGTCAGGGCAGAGGGGGGGTGGGGGGGTGGGAGCTCCCCCTTGGGGTCTAGCCTGTTCTTGGTCTGTGCCACCTTCCTTCCTTCCCCCTTTCTCTTCACAGATCTTTGCACTCCCTGCCTCTCTCCTGCTTCACTTCCTTCACTCCACTCTGCCACTCTTTGGGGGAGACTCTCACCTCTGGCGCCGAGGGCATCCATCCAGCACGGGGGCCGTGCCTCTGAGGGCAGCGGGTACGTCGGTCACTGAGAAGAGCCACCTCTGGCCACGACTGGGGGCGGGCTTGCAGGGCAGGGGGGCGTGGCCGCCTGCAGGCTGAGATGCCCGAAGCAGGCTTCTGGGGTGGGCAGGCGGGCGGGCAAGGGAGTGGATGCAAGCAGTGTTCCCTCTAAGCTGAGTGAGTGTGAGCTAGCTCACAGTTTTTTAGCTTCTGGCTCACACTTTTTTTTATCTTAGCTCAGGAAGGAGGGCTCCAGAGCAAACTAATTTATGCAGGAGCCCAATCGCTCGCTCACAACTTTAATGCCAGAAGCTCACAAAGTGGACTTCCCCTTGCTCGCAAGACTCCACAGCTTAGAGGGAACATTGGTTGCAGGCAGCGGGGCTGATGGAGGGATTCTGGAGAAGGAAATGCCGGTCTTTGCCCACCCAGAGGAGAGATACTTTGAACAGTGGCTGCTGGTGATTTCCCCCCAAGAAAACCCCTCAAGCTGCTTTGCGAAAGTGACCCGGGGCTTTTGCTGCTGAAACACGGTGGCCTGGCTGTACAGAGCAGAGGGGAGCAGTGCCGTCAGGAGGTCCAGCGTTGGCAGAGGACGGGCGGAGCTTGCCGTCAAACCTCTGCCCAGCTAGGGAGCCCACTCCTGGCCTCGGGCAAATCCCGGCCTGTTCGCTGAATGCTGCCTCGCAGGGTTGTTGTGCATCCCCTTGCACTCCTTCGAAGAAGGGACCATGGGGTAGCAGCCCGAGGAGCAGCCCTGGTCGAACCTGAGCCAGGGACACCGGCTCTCACGGAGAAGCAGCTGTGGCAATAGGTGAGGCCAAGGAGAGAAGGGCATCCACATGCACACGCTTCTTCCCGTGCTCTTTGTCTTTAGGGGAAGTCCAGTGTGAAGCCCCCAACAACAAGCTGGACAGATTTGTGGGGACCCTGACGACCAAGGGGGAGAAATTTGCCCTGGACAACGAGAAGATGCTGCTCCGGGGCTGCACGATCCGCAACACGGACTGGTGCTTTGGGCTCGTCATCTTTGCCGGTGGGTGTCGGAGCTCCGCGGGTGTGGGGCTTCTGGGGTGCCGCCTGCCCCCGCCGCCTGGCTCACTGCGGAAAGCCCCGTCTCCGACTCTCAGCTCCTGGGGGGTTGGGGCTTGCCCACCCCTGCCGCGCGGAGTGGTATCGTGTGGGGTGCTCCTGTCCCGCGTGCCTCCCGCCACGTGCCTTCCTGCGCACCCCCCACCTAGCTGAGCCCCTCCCTCCGCATCCTGCCCTCCATCCTGCCCCCCCCCCGGGTGTGTGTGTGTGTGTGACCCAGAGGAACTGCCAGGAGGAGGGTCCCGGCAGCCACCAGGACGCTGGGTGGGGGCCACGGCTGAGGGTGGCGAAATCCAACTGGAGAAATGACCGGGGCTTTGAGGGTGGAGCCTGGGAGGGGGGGAAGTGTTCCGGGAGGAGAGGGACCCTGGCAGGGTATCGGGCCACACGCAGTCCACCCTCCAGTGCAGCTGCTTTCTCCAGGAGAAGCGGAATGAATGCTCTAAATAAACAAATAAGCCATTCGTAGAGTTGTAATGACAGGAGATCTCCCAGGCCCCCGCCCTAATAAGCGGCTTCATTTTATTTATTTAAAACACGGATTTAGCTCCCTTTCTCCATTGCAGAACTCAAGGGGGCTTGCCATATGGTGCGTGAGAACCGTATTCTGCTAAAAGGCCTTGGCCGGAAGGTACCAAGGGCTTCCTTCCGAGAAGGCGTTCTTCTCTGCCTTTCCGCCCCACGATGGGCTTCGCGAGCCAGCCTGAGAGCCTCCTCCCCCCCCCCCCGGTCTTTGGGGGGCCCGCCAGCCGTAGCAAAGGGCTGTGCACGTGCCTGGCACGGGGGGGGGACGACAACTCCTGGGGCTGCAGACCTGGTTTTGCCTGCACGGGTCTCACACATTTGTGCCCAGTCAAAAAATGGGCGGTGCGAGGCTTTCCTCTCTGGGGAGGGGAGGGGAGGGGCCTCAGTCGGGTGTCACGCCGTGGACTCCACCCTCCAAAGCAGCCATTTACTCCAGGGGGGCTGGTCTGTGTCGTCTGGAGGTCAGCTGCAACACCAGGAGATCTCCAGCCCTCACCTGGAGGCTGGCAGCCCTGTGTCTGGTGCAGAAGAGCCTGGCCGGGCACGGGGGCAAGCGCTGGTGCCATGCTCTGGGGCGTGCCAGTGGAGTGCCAGAGGGGCGGGCCTTGGACCTGGCCCCCGGCTGGGAGACCATGGGCGGGGGTCTGCAGTGCTTGTTTTGCCGCCTCCGGTGGGGAAGGAAGCAGAGCCCAGGCCCTGTCGTCCGGCCTGGGTTGTCCACCTGGCTGCTCTGCGTCGAGGCCCCACCCCTGTGCCTCCACTCCGGCGGCGGTAAGGTCAGCTCTCAGCCACAGTCACAGGCCCCTGCGGACTCCTTGCTCTTCCAGGGCCAGACACCAAACTAATGCAGAACAGCGGCCGGACCATCTTCAAGAGGACCAGCATCGACCGGCTCATGAACACCTTGGTGCTGGTGGTGAGTCGCGCCCCGTTCTGCTCTTTCCCGGCTCTGCCTGGCTTCCCCCACCACCCCCCACGGCCCAGGAGCAGTGTTCCCTCTAAGCTGAGTTAGTGTGAGCTAGCCCACAGTTTTTTAGCCTCCAACTCGCACATTTTGGTCTTAGCTCAGGAAGACTGGCTCCAGAGCAGACTAATTTACGCAGGAGCCAAATGGCTCACTCACAATCTTAATGCCAGTAGCTCACAAAGTGGGATTTTTGCTGACGAGACTCCACAGCATAGAGGGAGCATCGCCAGGAGGGTGGCATTTATTCCAGGGAGGGGGGAAGGAATGGGGTTGGGAGGAAACTCATGTGCCCCGAGAGATCCCCACCCCAATTCTCCCCCGATCCTCTTTCCGAGACTCTGGGGTTGGGAAGTAGGCAGTAGGGAACCCGCCTCCACCCCAAGATGAAATTACTCTCCCCAAATTCCTCTTGATTTTTGTGCTCCTGAAGAAGGGAGGTGAGCATAGCTTAACGGAGCAGCCAGGTGAATGGGCAGAGGTACAATGGAGGCTCCTTTGGGCAAAAGAGTCTATTTTCCTGGCACGCGTTCTGTTCAAAATACACCAACCGAGACGCCGCCCAGGAAACATCAGCTCGTAAACGATCTGATCCGTTTTATAGCAAATAAAACAGGAAAGAGAAATCCTAGCTGTCCAGACTTGAAGAGTTGTTATTTCATAAGCTCAGCTCTCAGCACCTCCTTCAGGGGGGGGGGGGGGCCTCGGGTCTCGCTGCCTGCTTCCCCCCCCCCCAACTGACAGGCTGTTTTAACCCTCCCTTTCCCAGAGTGTCTCAGAGTTCTGTTGGGCAATGCTGTGATGTTTTGGCTGACATCAGAAGATACGGAACAGAGTTTGAGTCTATATAGGCACCTTGAAGACCAACAAAGTTTAATGCGTGCCCGCGAAAGCTGATACCCAGAATAAAACTTTGTTGGCCTTAAAGGTGCCCGACTGGACCCAAACTTTCTTCTGTTTCCTCAGAGACTGTCACGGGCTCTTACAGGCCAC